TGCTATGAGTAAAAGTTATTAAAAACGGCGCCCGAGTATCATACTCCAAAATGTACCATTTCTTTTATTTCTTTTTAATGGTACAATATAATGACACAATAATATTTACATATGTTTTCATCATAACTCTGAAGGTATTAATGAGATCTTGATGTATTGGTTATTTTTCATTTTTTTTACAAAAAATAATGTTTAATTTTTTTGTCGGTTGTGACGGAGCACTTTCAAATATGAAATGCGTAAAGAATTTAAGATTCAAATTATATCTTGTAAAAGTACCCCTAGAGGAGAGAATGTCTCAAATCACTTTCCTAAATTATGACAAGTAGTCTAGGAGATCTGAGGTAATGTTAATCTGAGATATAAAAACGACCACTCTTTTAGCATTTTTCGGAGGTTTGCACTGAAATCAACATGGTGTAAACTCATGATAGTTCTAATTCGTTTTCGCCAAGACATCTTGGAATGTCACGTGTAGTGTAAATAGGGCTAATGCAAATTTATTTGAAATAGCGCACAGACGTCTTGCATTCTGGCAGATGTATAACCTTTTACCACATAATAATAACCTTAAATATGTGTATCTTAAGTTGAAGAACGTTTGTGGAAGCTCAACTGTTCTGGGCTACCCGAGATCGCTTGTTTTATGATCTTATAATTCACAAGAGAGGGTTCAAAATATAAAATTTTGCTGGAAAAATGCTAGGATGAAAAAAGAGAGTCCTAAAATGTTGGCTCGTTGAAAGTTTTAACCCAAAAATATGGACCCAACTTTTAAAATCTAGGCCTATTTTTTCTAAAGGCCCATTTTCCAAAAATGAGGCATGTTCCTGAAATTAGATCCAGCCTAATCATATTAATATATTCTGAACAATACTTAGTGAAATTCAAGGTGGAAATATGTCCAATCAAGTTTGTTCTTTTACCCTTCGTTAAACTGTTGTCTAAAGTAAAGAAGGATCCATCACAAGAGATACAAGAAACTACATCCTTTCATTAAACAATTTTGCTGAGGGAGATTTATTGTGAATATTTAGAAAACATTTTGTTAACAATTTTGAATTTAGTTTAAGACCTAGTAATACTTACTATACATTTTTTGGAGCAATGCTCATCAGTCTGTGTTCATGCCCAGGATAATTATCAACCCCTGAAACATGCCCCTGAAACAAAGTGCAGAAATGCAAAGGTATTAAACCATTTGCAGCAGAGCATTTTGCTGTCAAAAGGTTGGCAATCAAAAAAAATATCCATTTGAAACTAAAGAGAGAGAGGACAGACAGCATACTCAACCATTCTGGGATCCTAGGTTTTCAGTATAGATAAAGTCTTCTCGGATCTTTTAAATGAGGCATTAGTCTGTGGTTTGAGAGACAATCGATTCAACCCAAAGTGAAGTTAAGTATTGAGTGAAAAGTTTCAACATGCGCAGAAGACACATTTTTGTTATACCATTATTTGTTATACTGGCTGTAAATACACGGTAAAACACAACATAAGCTATATGCTAGATACAGTAGGAAAGATATCATCTTGGTAACCTGACTATAAAAATGATAGAATGACAATGGAAAATTATGCATAGTATATTTTGAACCAGAAAATTGATTTATAAGTATCAAATTGAAGAAGTACAAGACACTCTATCAAAACTGTATAGTACAAGACAATCTAAAATTATTTTTATGAGTGCAAATAAGTAAAGTGTTCATGAGATAAGCATTACCCGGGTATATGATGTGATGACATTTTACTTGGTAATCCTAGACAACCAAGGTTGTATTAAAAGATCATACAACTTAACTGTTGTAAACAGACCAAAACCAGCATCATTAGTATTTTAGCAGATAAAATTAACTGTAATTGCTGATTATTTTGAAAATGTTACTGCTCTTCCATCACACACTGTAATATTATGTACAGTAAATATTTTGGTGTTAATTTTGAATAAAAACACTATAATACTGGTAATGGCCCAAAAGTATGTTTACAGTTAAAGCATAGGTTCTGGACTGATATAAAGATGGCAGCACCAACATAATCCAGTATTATCTTTTTCTCTATTTATAAATAATCACAGATCGATTACCTTGCCATCTTTATTTTAAAAATTATTTCTATCGACCTTTGCCTATGAATTAAAGTTTACAGATTGTCGAATAACTGTAAACCTACTTTCAGGCCACTATGCATAAATAAAGGTGGTTTAAACTTTCTACAGTCTATTAAAATCATCAAGGGGATGTCAATATCCTAGAGGGTATAATGGTGTAAAGCTGAACATCAAAAGGAGGGGCTTAGTGGAGAGTGCCCCAATTTTGGAATTTTGGGCCCCAAATCTGAAAATTTATAGGCCTAATTTATAATGAATACGCCCAACATTAAAGAATAATGCCAGTTTGTTCTACCTAAAATGCCTGATCTATGTTGGGAGGAGATTTTCGGCCCTAACATTTTCTTACCTTTCTTGGGGTCTAGTCCCCAACTATACACTACCGAAACTGCCTGTCCTGTAAGGTTCTAAAATATTTTACTAAGCCATTTGATTGAAATAAAAATGTCAAGAATAGATGTCATTCCCTATTCATAAAATTAAATGTAACATTCTCTCTAATTTAATGTGTGTACAATTTTATATCATAGATAAGAATTGTTTAGATAAAATATCAGGTCTCCAAAATAATACATTTTTGCCCACCCTATACATTCAAGCTGTTTTACACCAAGCATGAGCATGACAGAGCATTACAAAAATAGAAGTAAACAGTGATATCAAGTTTGTATTTTTCTTGTATATCAAGTGCTGTATTTTTTATGTTTCATTTATGCTCAACCTTCAAGGTTAAAATGAACTAACATTTAAACATAAATAACAAGAAGGCAACTGGGGTTAAAGTACATTAATTCTAAACCAGGCATACTCATAATCTAAATACAGGACAACACATGTCGAGACTTTAGAAACTACCAGAAACAGTACAAATATAGAAGTATATGTAAGCCTAAGATGGCAGATACAAATAACATTGTGAGGTGTCCATATCCTGATGTCAGGATACCAGAAAACCAGTCATTCTATGAAAGAATATTCCAGAGAGTAAAGGATTTTCCTAATAAGATTGCTCTGGTGAGTATTTAAAATCATTTTTAAATTGTTCTTCTTTACATTGTTGCTTAAACTGTCCAATAAGGTATAAAATGTACATTTGTTCAGGCATTGACAAACTACAGGCCCCACAGGGTGAGCCAGGGTGAGCTTTCATTCTACTAAGTTTCATTGGTCTAGTTTTAATGGTCACGATTTTATGGTCAATTTACAAAACATGCTCCAAATGCAGAAAAATCATCTAATATGAATCTCATTAATCTTCTGAGCTATTCCAAAGATATTGTCCACACTTAACTCTAGAAGCAAAGTAATAGTGAGAAAGGTTTCATGGGGCTTGTACAAACCCCCATTCACCTCAAACTAGTGTTGTCCCGATGTGCCATAATCGTACATCGATGCACCAGCAATTTTCAGGAGTAAACGTCGATACACATCGCGATGTACATCAAGAAAAAAGTCTGAGAAACGTGCACTGAAATACTGAATGCTAATGCACTAAAATACCAAATGCAGCAAATAAATAATAGGTAACAGTGAAGTGAATGTAAAATAAGTTTTTAGATTAATCCTTCATTTTAACTAACTAAAACATTTTTAAAGTGAAAGGATACCAGAAAACATTGGAATATGAACTAGGACATGAAAGGTAAGACATTCGCGTCAAAATGAGATTACAGATTACAACTGCAATTACAGTGATTTTTTAGCAAATTTAATTTTTTAAAAAACATCGATGTTTTGTTTCAGACATCTATGCATATTGCCAGAATCAGCTTTGATGTATTGCGATGTATCGATTAATCGCAACAACACTACCTCAAACCCCCTTTTGTTATAAACTAACTCCCTGCTGGGAACAACCCCCTTTCTGAGAGATCAACAAACCACGCAGACACGGAAAAAAACACTCTTAGAAAGTGACTATTTTTGAGCGAACAATGAATCACACATTTATTCTAGCTACTAACTTTTTTGGGGTTGTCGAGTTGGCAGAGAGGGCTTGAGCGCCAGCACGTTTAGGCTAGGTGATTGGGGCTGTAACCATGAGGTTGCGAGTTCGAGACGCGTGTGCTCCTTGCGTTTATTCATTGATGATGCCCATACTATATTCTGTTATTTCATTGGTAAGTTAAAACAGTTTCCGTCTTGCAACTCCCCTCCCTCTTCGCCTTGAACCACCCCCCCCCCTTTGTTTTAAAATGAACCCCCAGGCAGGGGAAAAAATTGAACTCCCCTTGGTTAATCCTGGCTATGCCTGTTACAAGCATCAGATAGTTGAAGAGATAAGAAGAATGATTACAAAAGATATCTTTGAGCATAAGTCAGAACAACTTCACATGGTATGTTGAAATTGGCTTCCAGAGGTGAGACCAGCATTTTGAGAATGTTTTGTAAAATAGCCATAAAATCTCTGAATGCATGTTGTAAACGGTATAACATAAGGGTACGATATGGTATAACTCAAATTCCAATTCTTTGTGTTGTACCTCACCTTTACCGCACATTATACCATATATTCCAGGTTTGTGTAGGTTTAACTATGAAATCCACCGTCAAGTTCACTGTCTAGGATGTTGTTACAGACATTTACATATAAAAACATCTATAAACTATAGACCACATCTTTATGAAATGATGAAAACATTGTTTGCTAACATTTCATCACCCTTGTGTTGTACTGTACCCTGAACGTTCAACTGTCAGGCTTAATTTGGTATGCACCCTGTGAAAAATAAATACCTTATTATCTTCCTTGCTTTTTAAGGTTGATGCTATATCTGGAACATCTTTCACCTACACAGAACTTGTAAATGCAACAAAGCGTGTTGGAAGTGCACTCATTAAACGTGGATTCAAAAAGGGAGATGTACTGTGTCTCTACAGCCCAAACAGTATAGAATGGGCCATCACATACTTTGCAGTTATTGCCATAGGAGGGATTGCCACTACAGCAAATCCATTATACACTGCTGGTATATATATACATGTAAAAGCACAAAGAGACCTTCCAAATGAGACATGGCTTATGTCTACAATTTTTGAATTAAGCATATTTTCCTCTTATCGCAAGCACATTTTTGGCTCTGTAGCACAATTTTAATTTTTGTGATAAGACCGGTTTTCCTATGGGGAGGCTCATATATCACCATTTCAGTCTAGAATTTCTCTCCTTCCCTCTCTCCTCCACATCTCATCAATTTCAAATCATATGTTTATTTGCTTCTTGTCTATTCTATGAGATCATTTATTTTCATTTGTACTCCATACTATGGACACTTGAATCAGAATGGGTGAGGGGCCATGGGTTCGATCCCCACTAAGGTTAACTGACTTTTTTACATTTTGACTTTTTTCTACAGAGTAGCAAATCGTAACAAAGACAATATTCATAAATCTGTGTAGCATAGTGTAATATACAATCTACTCTGCCCATGATTAGCAGAAAATACAAGACAGCTCAGTGGAGTAACAAATCCCAATGAACAAAATATTTTTTAAATATATTTAAAATGATTTGCAGATAAATAAAGTCAGCTGTTGGATATATATCAAAATTCAACCAATTTAAACATTTTTTAAGTACCCCAATTTTTTACAGTTTTTAAACGGACCAAAACTCTCTAAATGCGCATTTATGCTCTTTTCTCTCGAGAACGACTGTCTCATTTTCACGATAACTTTTATTTAGTACTTCTAACATATAAGATCTATTTTTCCCCATCAAGGTATGATGTAAATGACATGCTATTTACATCTTGTGAGTTTCAATGACGCGCGTTTGATTTTATAAAAAAATGCCAAACTTTGTGACAAAGAATTTCATCCTGCTTGCAGCGAGAAGACGGACCGGTTCGGGGCAATAGCATGAACATAATTTAGGAATCTTTATACATGAGTTTAAGTTTGGCATTTTTTATAAAATCAAATGCGCGTCATTGAAACTCACAAGATGTAAATAGCATGTCATTTACATCATACCTTGATGGGGAAAAATAGATCTTATATGTTAGAAGTACTAAATAAAAGTTATCGTGAAAATGAGACAGTCGTTCTTATATAAATGCGCATTTAGAGAGTTTTGGTCCGTTTAAAAATCTGTAAAAAATTGGGGTACTTAAGAGCATCGGGAGGCATCATATATTTCAAATTAGACACGAGGAAGTCAATATTGAGCAAGTTATGGCTGTTTTAAATTCAAATAAAACCGTTAACCCGTACCGGTCCAGCTTTTGACCCGTACCGGTCAATTTTCGTTAGCTGCGTATACCAAGGGTGTAATAGTAGTATTTCAAGAGCACAATAGAGGTACTGGCACATTATGAATATTGAAAATGAAATTCATTAAAAATTTGAATTCAAATCGAAAATCACATTTTTTCAGTGATGTCCTTAATATTATGTTTAACAAAAACTCGAGTCACACAACTTTCAATATAGTACATTTTACCTTCATTTAACCTAGATTTACTGTTACAGATGAGATTCAACATCAACTAAAAGATGCCCATGCAACATATATTGCTACACCTATTGAACTTGTGTCTAAAGTCAAGCAGGCTGCCAAAAAGTACACTAAACTCAAGGTAGAATATATTTTAAGGTATTTGAATACCAGGAGGCCAAAAATAACTACAATATATAGTGTAAATATATCTTTATATTAAAATGACCAACAATACAATACATAATTATGTGTCATAATAAAATAATACAAAATTAAACATAAGGCAATCAAGCTAGAAAATGTTTTGTCCCCAGTGTTTAAGAAATATGTTTGAATGGGTTTGAGAGAGTGTTTTATTTCCAAGTCGTAAGTCCACCCGTGTGGCTCAGCGGAAGCGCAGGTACCTCTTACGCAATAGGTCCCGGATTCGATCCCCGGTTCAGGCAAGACTAAATTTGCTTGTTTGCGTGAAGTACTTCAGGGTGTTTGACTGAGTGGTCCACAACTCGTATAAAAGGCTGTGGTGTGTACTTATATGTCTATGTATAAGTGCACATGAAAGAACACAGGGCTCCTTCAAGGAGGGGTTTCTGGGTCTATCTTCCATGTTAATTACATAAATTATGACCGTATATATACGGGACATACCCAAGAGGTATTGCTCACCTTCATTGGTGGTAAACAAAATACAATACAATACAATGACAGGATTTTAAATTTGTGCACACTGAAAAGTTTTGTAATTAAATTTAATTTTAAGAAAAAATCAGTTGTCACTGACCTTGTTTTTTACTATTGTTCCTATTGTTACTATTGAAAAAGGTATAACTGATTAAATCCATCAAAACTGTTCGGTCTTTGCACGCGATTGCCGTTTATGTCACGCATTTGGTATAAAATATGTGTATATATCACACATTTGTTTCGAGAATATTCACACCTAAATAGTTCAATTTGTTGAAAATTTTGCTATTTATGTACCAAGTGCCTCAAGGATACACTAAAAAGGTATAACTGATTAACCCTTTCCCGACGTGAATATAAGAGGAAAAAGTTGGCCCTCGTGACGGATAAGTAAGAGCAGTTTTTAGGCGATAACTGCAAATTACCTTCGCCCTGGAACCTATACCTTATATTTTATCACTGAAATACAATTTCTAGTAAGAACTATCACATTAGAACAACTTGTCAAAATTTGGTGTAAAAATATTCAATAGAACTGGAGATATTGTCATTTTATTGATGTATATGAATAAAAATGATGGTGTCAAAAGGAGCCTATCGTCCTGAAAGGTATTACATAATAGGGCTCCATATGGAGCCTATCGTCGTGAAAGGGTTAAATCCATCAAAACTGTATATCCATAATGATATAACGTAAGAAACTCTTTTATTAAAAGTGTGACATCACAAAATTAATTTCTCCTAAAGCTACACATTTGTCCAATCATTGCTCCTATGCTATAACATGGAGCCATCTATTGCCAGTATACAACTAACTAAACATCATAAACAATAAAAAATACATTCTGGAGAAATTATAACTTAATAACTACAATATCATAAAATAAAAGAAGATAAAATACACATGGTATTCAAAAAACATTTGTTATTCCAGTCAAGACAAACAGATCTTCATACATGTAATTGTATTATGGCCCCCTGACTTAAATTGCAATTATTAAATGTTTCAGAAAATCATTGTGTTTGGTGGTGAAGCTTTGTTTGATTGCATTAGCTTTAATACTCTTATGGGAGACAAAGGTGATGCTTTCAAGTTGCCAACAATAAATGCAAAGGAGGACATTGCTGCTCTGCCATATTCAAGTGGAACAACAGGGCTACCAAAGGGTGTAATGCTGACCCATTTTAATCTCGTTGCAAACATACAACAACTTAAGTAAGCTCTTGTGTAAGAGTATTTTACTTGGCTGTCCAATATCAAGTTAATTAACTATTCAGGGGGGCCAATAATGCTATATAGCCTCGGCCCCACACAATCTATATTAATAATTGTGTTGAATATTATGGAAATAAATAACAATAACCTAAAAACAATTATTGCTATTTCCATATAAAATAATCGAATCACCATGTTAAGAAAAATTTACTTTTCAAACTGTTAATGTATTATTTTCATGCATTTAAAAATTCTTTTGTGTGATACATTTCAGAGCTACTCCCTATTTTCTGCCTACTCTTAGAGGAGATTACCATATTGCAGTTTTGCCATTCTTTCATATATATGGTCAAATACTTATCTTAGCTGGGGGTTTATGTGATGGTGCTACTGTTGTTACAATGCCAAGGTTTGACCCTCAACTGTATCTGAGTGCTATACAGAAATATAAAGTAAGTGATGTCTACTTCAACAAAGGTGTGGGAAAAAACATATTATGACTTTGAAGTTTACATAAAATTTGTCCTATTGAGAGACCATGAATAAGAATATATACACGGGTAGTATCTAAAGCCCCGTTATGATTGAAAAGTCGCGAGCAAGTTCCCGCTGAAATCGCGAGCATAGTCCTGTTTATTTGTATAACTTTGGAAAATGAACCAAAAGGATGAAAATACTTATTACCGTTCTTTGATACTCCGGCAAAACTTTGAAAACAGATATATTTGACAAAAAATGACATGAAAAATGATTATTTTTTACTTGCATGAAGGAAAGGGGCGTCAACATGCACGTTTGCATAATTTACTGCTCATATATTACCTTTATCGTTAAAATAAAGGCAATAAATACGATTTACATACTCCATAATAAATATCGGATCAAGATGGTCTGTATTGATAAGTTACTGGACAATGACACCTGCCATGGGGGTCGAAATACATGATTAAAGGTGTTCCAGTGGCCCCGCTGAAAAAATGAGGAGGCCCCGCTGAAAACATGAGGAGACCCCGCTGAAAACACGAGCAAATTTCACGACTACCCGCTTCGATCACGAGGAAAGCTTCATCATTATTCCATGAATATAGTGAGCTTCTTTATATGAACGTACACGAATGTGCAAATAACGTATTAATGACAGTCACATAATATATCATTCTATGGCAACATCACAAATATTTCTTCTTCAACTTCAGGCAGTCTAATCCATCTGTCAGCGGCATGATCAAATTTTTATATGTAAATAGACTTTGTGCATTTCGGAGTTTAATGTACATTCTAGATAATTAACTATTCCAAGGATTATACTTCTGAGGACACATATATTTCATTGGTCTCTTTGTCCGACCGTTCATTCGTGCGTGCATTCGACCGACCGTTCGTTCGTGCGTGCGTTCGTCCGACGGTCCGTTCGTTCATGCGTGCGTTCATCCGACCATTCGTTCGTTCGTGCGTGCATCCGTTCGTGCGATTGTCCGTCCGTTTGTGTGCGCATGCGTTCGTCTGACCGTCCGTTTGTGCTTGCTTTCGTCTGACTGCCCTTTCGTTCGTGGGTTCGTCCGTCTAACCGTCCGTTCGTCCGTGCGTGCTTTCGTTCAACCGTCCATTCATGCGTGCGTTCGTCTAGCTGTTCGTTCTTTTTGCGTTCGTTTGTGTGTTCGTTCGTGCGTGCGTTCATTCGTGCGTTCGTTTGTAACTACGTTCTTGCGTGCGTGGGTTCGATCTTTTGTAAATTGTTTTCTTCTATCTTTCCTTCAAGGAAGGAAGCAAGGAAGGAAGCAAGGAAGGGAACGAGGAAGAAAGGAAGCCAGGAAGCAAAGAAGGAAGGAAACGATGTATCAAGGAAGGAAGGAAGCAAGCAAAGACACAAGAAAGGAGGGAAGGAAAAAAGCAAGGAAGGAAGTAAGTAAGGAAGAAGGCGAGAAAGCAAGGAAGGAAGGAAGCAAGGAAGGAATGAAGCGACAAAAGAACAACGCGAGGAAAGAATGAAGGAAACGAGGAAGCAAGGAAGGAGGAAAGAAGGAAGTGAGGAAGCAAGGAAGGGAGGATGCAAGTGAGGAAGGAAGGAATCGAGGATGCAAGGAAAGAAGAAAGCGAGGAAGCAAGGAAGGAGTAGAGAAGGAAGCGAGGGAGGAAGCGATGAAGCAAGGAAGGAATGAAGCAAAAAAGGAAGGACGCGAGGAAAAAACGAAGGAATCGAGGGTGCAAGGAAGGAGGAAAAAAGGAAGCGAGGAAGGAAGGAAGCAAGGAATGAAAGAGGGAAGTGAGGAAGGAAGGAATCGAGGAAGGAAGGAAGCAAGGAAGCGAGGAAGCAAGGAAGAAAGCAAGCGAGGAAGCATGGAAGGAAGGAATGAAGCAAGGAAGGAAGGAGGAAAGGAAGTGAGGAAGAAATTTATGAAGAAAGCGAGGAAACAAAGAAGGAGGAAAGGGAGCGAGGAAGGAAAAAAGCATGGAAGGAAAGAGGGAAGCGAGGAAGGAAGGAAGGAAGCGAGGAAGCAAGGAAGGAAGGAAGCAAGGTAGGAAGGAAGCGAGGAAGGAAAGATGCGAGGACGGAAGGAAGCGAGGAAGCAAGGAAGGAAGGAAGCAAGAAAAGAAGAGGCGAGGAAGCAAGGAGGGAAGGAAGAAAGCGATGAAAGAGAGTGGCGAGGAAGCAAGGAAGGAATGAAGCGAGGAAGGAAGGAAGGAAGCAAGGTGGGAAGCAAGCGAGAAAGGAAAGATCCGAGGAAGGAAGGAAGCAAAGAAGGAAGGAAGCAAGAAAAGAAGAGGCGAGGAAGAAAGGAAGGTAGGAAGCTAGGAAGGAAAGAAGCAAGGAAGGAAGGAAGCCGGGAAGGAAGGAAGCGAGGAAGCAAGGAGGGAAAGAAGCAAGGAAGGGAGGAAGCAAGGAAAGGAGGAAGCAAGGAAGGAAGGATGCGAGGAAGGAAGTAAGCGAGGAAGCAAGGAAGGAACGAAGCGAGGAAGGAAGGAAGTGAGGAAGCAAGGAAGGGAGGAAGCGAGGAAGGGAGGATGCAAGAAAGGAAGGAAGGAAGCAAGGATGGACAGAAGGAAGCGAGGAAGGAAGGATGCAAAAATGCGAGGAAGCAAGGAAGGGAGGAAGGAAGGAAGCGAGGAAGGAAGCGAGGAGGGAAGCAAGGAAGGGAGCAAGAAAGAAAGGAGGGAAGTGAGGAAGGAAGGAAGGGAGGAAGCGAAGGAATGAAGTGAGGAAGCAAGGAAGGAATGAAGCAAGGAAGCAAAGAAGGAAGAAAGCGAGGAAGGAAGGAAGCAAGGATGGAAGGAAGCGACGAAGGAAGGATGTGAGGAAGCGAGGAAGGAAGCAAGGAAGGAAGGAAGCACAGAAGCAAGGAAGGGAGGAAGCGAGCAAGCAAGTAAGCAACAGGAGATTGATGTCGGAATAATATTCATAAACATTGTTCTGACTAAATCATTTTATGTTGACCTAAACGCACGCTTATTCGTGTATCTTACTGAATATCGACTTTTACTCAAAGATGGAACAGAGGGGACAGTTGCAATACAGAGAATACAGAATATTTCCTATGGACTATGTAGTAAGATCACACGATAAAAAACGTTATACAACGATTTGAAGTGCAACATATGATATATTGTGCTCTCGATATGCTGTATTTCCAAATGATTTCATCTCGTGCCAATACAGAATTTTTTGAGCACAATGTATCCTACATTGCACTTCAAATCATTCAATAACTTATATTACTTCAAATTATGAAAATGAGGTTAAATGTTTAACATTTCGTCCGATCTAATACTCACATTTCTCAGATGATCTTTCTTATTCTGTAAAATGGCATGGAAATATGATACTGCAGTTTTCCATAACAACGTATCATAATATGAACTATATTAACAGTTGTATTTGCTGTTATTGAGAATTGTATTGACAAATAATGTATTCATCAAACTGGTTACAATAGTGGATCAAGGTGGGTACGAAAGTGGGAGATTTTCAGGGTATAATCGGGATTCACTCCATTTTTGAGAGACACTTGCTCCTGTTTTCAGCGGGACCTCCTCATGTTTTCAGCGGGGCCTCCTCCTGATTTCAGCGGGATCTTTGCTTTATTGCTCCTGCTAGAAGCGGGGCCTTGAGGGATATGATAAAATTTAAATATAAAATGTTCTGTAAAGCTTTAGGAAGCGAAACTCGGTACATCTTTATTTCATATCACTATCGTTATTTCAACCACAGGACAACATCGTTCTTCACCAATAACGTATAGAAATATAAAGATAAAGATTCAAAATGATACTTTCTCTCTTCAATTGACAAATAACGAACCACAGAACGACCGTTCGTGATACATTTTTTCCAGCAGTTGCTTTTTTAGTCTCAATACCATGTAATCATTGGGAAAAATTAAAAGAAAACGTTTTGTAAATCATACAATTCAAGAACACAAAAAAGAACCCATGACTTCTTTTTATTCCTCGCGATTTCAGCGGGAACTTGCTCGCGATTTTTAAATCATAGCGGGGCTTTAGATACTACCCGTGATATAGTGTCTCTGGTTAAACAGTACAGTCTATTATACATAAAGCTAGCAAAACAACTAAGATTTCAATTTATGGCAGGCAACAAGACTGTTCACTGTTCCTCCCATGATGTTATTCCTAGCAAAGGACCCCATTGTGGATACGTATGACCTCTCAAGTGTGAAGGAAATTTTCTGTGGAGCTGCTCCATTGAGCAGAGAATTGCAAGTGGATGTCATGGCCAGATTGAAGTGCAATATAGTACAAGGTTTGAAGTGTAGTAATGAATTTACTAATGCAGTATGCTCACTTCTCCATGTTTGTTCATCCCCTTTCACTAAATAGTCTATATTCTTATATCACGCTGCGGTATCCAAACTATGTGCATACTATGCAGTTTGTAGCACTGAAAAACTGCCTGTATATCAACATTGCATCATACAAGTGTTTTCAAACGTCATTTAAGATCATCTAGATGAACATAGGTTTTAAAATATAAGCAGATAATAAAAAATTGTCATCTGTTTTTCGATTACCAGCACATAAGTTAAGATGTCGCACTTTTCACAGAAATAGAAAATACTATATTACTTCAACTATTTGCAGCAATCCTGTATCTTTCAGTATATGCAAACACAAGGGCCATTTTTAAAATATGTGCACAGTTTGTCAGTTTGTTATGCACGCAGTTTGGATACCGCACTGTGAATATGATACATGATGTCACAATAACTAGAACAATTGAATTACTGGTCTATAATCGATCGAGTATGTATGATCATCGCTAAATATCATGATGTAAATAGATTTGTTGTTTTTTATCATATTATTAGAATCATATTAGAATCTTCACACAAGACCTTGATTTTATGATTCATGGCAAATATGTGGCCTCTGATTTATTCTGGCCATTGCCAAAGACCTCAGTTGTTACACAAACAACAATAAACAAAATAAAACTTTCGGTTATGTAAAATTTAGCAGTCATACATACTTGATTATAGTTCTAGTTATTTAGTTAGACATTACAGGATTTCGGTCTTTAACAGTGAACACAATATCATTTGGTAATATATTGCACCATAAATCATAGAATCTCAGTGTTTATTCCATAATCTTATGATTTTGGTTGGTAGACAAATAATGCTTTTCTAAATTTTGACCATAGGGTATGGAATGACAGAACTTTCTCCTGGATCTCATGTTTCCCCTAACAAATGTTGGAAAAATGATGCAGTTGGCTTGTGCTTACCTAATTCAGAAAGCAAAGTAAGTAGAGAGGTATAAGCAGTGATTACAATTGTATAATCCATTCACTTTTAAGTAAGTGCATTCTATAGCTGACAGTTATAATTTTTGTTTAACTTATTGCTGACTTATTTTTGAATTGCTTTAATGTAGTGTATGGGTTGTTTATTGTCTTCTAGTCTTTAGATGTTTCTTTAGATTATAGACATAGACACAGGTATTGCACTAGGTCCTCATATTGATGGTGAGGTGTGTGTGAGAGGCCCACAAGTTATGAAGGGATACCTGAACAACCCTGAGGCAACTGCTAACACAATTGACAAGGATGGCTGGCTGCACACAGGTATGGCACCAAGGAAGGTTTGGTTTAAAAGGGGTCAAAATCCACAAAATAGTCTCTGGTACTATTAACTTGTTGATAAGTGTGGATCATACATGTGCACTACTATGAACCATTTGACTTTTCTAAAATCAGATTACCATTAATCAAAATGAGTAGTAAAATAAAACTTTTAATAATAATAATAATAAAATTGTCTTCATTTAAGGTGATATAGGACACTATGACCATGATGGATATTTCTATGTGGTTGACAGGCTCAAAGAATTAATCAAATACAAAGGATTTCAGGTATTCAACTAGATAACGGCAACTCCGCGGAGTAGCAAATCCCAACGAACAAAATATCAATTAGCGAATTCCAATCAATTATACTCATTACATTGGTTAAAATTGAAAAAATTAGATTTTAGAATTACGAATTCCTGCAAAGCAGCCATTTTGAATTTTCTGAGAAACAAATCTGAAAAATAATACCATAATTGTGATCTACTCCAAAATTCCTTCAATTTGAGTATAATATAGCCATACTTTGAAGGGATCGAAAAATTATTGCGAAATCGTCCATTAGACGGCCATTTTAAATTTTACGAGGCTCGAATCAGAAAAAAGATACAATATTTGCAATCTACTCTTAATTGCCTTTCATTTGAGTATAATAAAGCTATACTTTAGAAAGATCTAAAAATTAGCGAAAATTTCTGTTTTCCTGCCCCCCATACACAGCCCCTGGGGGTCGGGATGAAAAACACGGAATATATGTGAAATAGATAAATGTTGTGAATATACTACGAAAATTTCAAACAATAATATTAATTACTTTGGTTCAGAATGAAAAATTTACGATTTTTGCGAAAAAGTCCCGTCATTTTTAAAGCGGCGGCCATCTTGAAAATTTTTTTTTTTGCGTAAAACTATTCACCAATATACATCTTTCCACTAAATATGAAGAAAATCCGTCTACTAGTATTTGAGTTATCTTCCGGACAGACGGACGGACTGACTGACTGATGAACTTCGTTCGTTGGGATAATAAAAAACTATTTCACACATATATTTCATTATGCATGTATTTAAAACATGGACTTCCTATTAATATTTTAGGTTGCACCAGCAGAGTTAGAGGGTCTGTTGTTGACACATCCAGATATTGCTGACTCTGCAGTAATAGGTGTTCCAGACATTGTAGCTGGGGAACTGCCTAAAGCATTTATTGTAAAGAAACCAGGTGCAACTATAACAGGAGAACAGATTTGTAAATTTGTTGAAGGTATGTTTATCTTACGGAAAATTCCTTATTTTAATGTGCCTGTGCTTAATGGATTTTTGAAATGCAATATCTAAAAGGTGGTATAGAAATACATACTTTTTCTGAATTATTTTACAATTAGAAAAATACTAAGGCATAATTTAGAACACAAATACAATAGATCCAACCAACCATCACATTAAAAATATATTATCAATTTCTTTTCTCAATATCAACTGTATCATTAGGTTCCATGTTTTATCATTTTTTGGGATGACATTTTTTTCAGGATTGGTTGCTCCACATAAAAAGCTAAGAGGTGGTGTAGAATTCTGTCAAGAAATACCAAAATCACCAAGTGGGAAAATTCTTCGAAGAATCTTGAGACAAATAATTAAGGACAGGCTGAAATCAAAACTATAAATGAAATAAAGGTTGGTATTTTAGATATGTGCTCCAATGTGCTCCAATTTTTATAATGGTCTGTTGAATTGAGTATTACAGAACCACGATGGTTATGAACTTCATTAACCCATACATTGATCTCTGACATTGGTAATTATCATTATTATAAGTAATGACCAGAGAGCCTTAAAACACAATACCATTTACTGAAATTTCATGGGACATCATACTATAAATGTCACCTTTCATTTCCATGCCTCCTACAGAGAAAGTGCATGATTAACATCATACATAACTTTACACATTCAAAATATAATGTACTAGGAAGGATACACCAATAATAAATTGTTGCTTTTGAAACAATATGAAAAAATTACTGCGTACCTTAATCTCATTTACAAGAATGTTTGAATAGAATAAATTAATGAACACATAGTTAAAAATATTACAAGGCCATCCTCTGTAATTTTTATATGTCATTGCTCAGATGTCACAGCAAAAGCTCATGCAGATGCATAAACTTAGCAAGGCTGATTTGTTGGAAGAAACCTTTTGTTAAATTGAAAATATGACTGTTTTTTGACAAAAATATAGGGTGTCCGGAAAGTAAAGATACAAACACTCTAATTTTAAGAGATTTAGGTTTTTTGAAATGAAATTGCTACAGATTGTAGAAGAACTATATTACAATACATCTACCAACTTGTATAACATATAGTCTAAACGTGTTAAAGTTACGATTGTCATGGTTACGATGATCAGGGGTATGCGGAGCAGTTCTATGATATCGCTAAATTATCTTAAATTGCTAGAATTTAACCATTTTGAAACAGTGTTTATTATTGTATTTCCTATCAATGTTTTGTTTTCTTCAATATTGTATTCTTGCTGCCATAGTATTCTCTTTAGTATTATGATATCACTTATGCATATCATAACTACATGTATGTAATGTCACTAACCAGTATAATCAAAGAAGCATTATATACTTCGTAAGTGCTTAGAAAAAAGGTCCCTAGATTAATAGGAAAGTCAATGGTGCACTTTTACAATGCACCAATTCACAAAGCAAAGAAAACAAACCTTACAATTGAATGTCATGACATGAAACCTTTTTGTACAATGGCCCATATTACACGGATAATGTCCCGTTGGACTTCTACATTAATGAATATCTTAAAGCAATATTTGTTAGAAGTTCAACATGAAAGTGAGACTCTGCTTGAAGCCAATTTTATCAGTTATTTGAGAGATGGACAACAGCAGTTTTGTCAGGTCTTTGAATCTCTGGTCAAGATGCACCACGAATGTTTAGATAATGTTGGGAAATACATAATACTGGATAACAGTAGTAATGTCAAATGACCAAATAATGTTTCAGTTCTACTTCTTTTGCTGTTGTGTGCATAATTTATTGTGACGCTGCTCCACATACCCAGGACTACCGTTACCATAACAACCGTAACTTTTTCATTTTGGAACAAATTGTCATGTCAGTTGCAGGATAAATTTTTATACTGTTATTCTATAATCTGTAGCAATTTTATTTTACAATAGGTAAATCTATCGAAATTAGAGAATTTGTATCTTTACTTTCCGGACACCCGGTAATTATATAATTAAAGAAATAATTTTTTGCTCTGTTATATCATTCTTTTATTTTGTCCCATTTTTTCAGGATTGGTTGCTCCACACAAAGAGCAAGAGGTGGTGTAGAGTTTTAAAAAAACTGACAAGGGACAAGTTGAAATCAAAATATGAACAATGTTGTGATGTTCTTGGATATATACCATAATTACCTACGTCACAATTATATTGTTTCAAGGCCTAGACTATGCCACAACAACAATGTATAACATTAGTTTAAATAGTTTCATTAGTTTACCTCCATCCTTGAGCAGAATATCAAGAAAGGTTAACATATTCAAGTTTGCCAATATTATGATGATTTGGGTACTCTGGAATTATTATAACGGAATGAATATAAATTATAAGAGCATGACTGGCTAAAGAAAAAGATTTGAGACAAAATGGCTTTTCAGATGTATCCAGTACAATGTATGCTGTAAGGCAAATCAGTTCAAGATTGGCATACCAATAGAAATCCCTTAAAATTGGATATGAAATTAGAAATAAATTCATTGAATGAATACTGGTACTGAACAGAGACAATTTACCCAGCATGTAAAAAAACTAATCAGATTTAATCTACATAAAATGTTTTAATGAAATGGTTTGCTAATGAAATGTGTAGACAAGATGATTTAAGGATGCCCTGTATAAGCTACAATCCACAGTTGACAGATTTGGTTTAAAATTTATAGTCATACCTTATGGGTGTAGGACTTCTGTTCGAGAAGGAATTTTCAATATGGCCACTCAATTCAAAATGGCCACCATTTTCTGTAAATGTTGACAGATTTGGTTTAAATTTTATATGCTGATGCCAAAGAACAAAGGAGCTTTGCTGCAGAAGAGATTTTCAAGATGACAAGTACCAGTGGGCAGATTTGGTTCAAATTTTATATACTGATAATACCTAGGGACATGGAAGCTCTTGTCAAGGATGACTTAGTTTTCTCCTAAGAGGCCTTTCAGATATCTGATGAAATCGATGTATTAATTTTCTTGTCTGTTTGTTTGTTTGTCTCTGGTTGGCTTTGAGGTGCTCCTGGTCAACCCACTTGGCAATTTCCTACAACACGTGATTAAGATGCCAATGGTGCCTGTCTGCGGGTGAGGCTCTATAAAGAACCTAATCGACGCACATGTGCTAGGTGTCCAGGCAATAATGGGTCAAAACACTGTCGGACACACATACTGCCTGCTGACGAGGCATGAGCACCAAGCCCAACCATTAGTTGAAAGTAATTGTCCCTTCTCAACACCTCTAGAGATATACCACTTTGACTCAAGAAGTGTACTGATGCAAATATGAGAAGAAATATCCAGGGAAGGATTTTGAGTTTTGTTGATAATGTTTCTCTGCAAATGTGTTTATAAGTTTATATGCACAATCCAATCAAACTAACTGTCTGAATTTAACTATCATGCAGCATCAGTATGGAACAAAAGCAAATTGTGTCAATTGTTTATGTAAAGTTGCAATGTTTCCAGTGGAGGATTTGCCTATCGCATTGGTATGTTGAAGACTAGCACTGCACAGGGGTATGACAGAGTGTGGCCCCATTCACAGAAATAGTAGTAAACAAAAAATCAAGTTTAAGTAAATAATACCTATATTATATACATTCCAATTATCTCCAACCTCTTAGTTCAAGGTTAAAAAGACCTATTTTCTAACCAAAAATAACTCAAGGCAGCGGGTCAAAGTACATTCAAACTAAACCAGACATACTCATGATCTGAATACAAGACTTGATGTTATTTATTTAAACTAAATGAACAACAAATGTTGACTCGATCTTTATAAAAAATTACCAACAAAAACAGCACATAGAACAGGCTGGAGGTATAAAAGTATATGTAAGCCTAAGATGGCAGATACAAATAACATTGTGAGGTGTCCATATCCTGATGTCAGGATACCTGAAAATCAGTCATTCTATGGAAGAGTCTTCCAGAGAGTAAAGGAATTTCCTACAAAGATTGCTCTGGTTAGTTCTTAAAATCATTTTCAAATTGTTCTTTTTGTAAAAACTATTATTGTAATTATTTTCAAAAATGGTCAATAACAAAATTTCTCAAAAACATGTTTGGTCTTTAGCCCAAAAAAAGTTTGGGCCAATGTTTAAGGAATGGTAGGGTTTGTCAGTATGTAGGCATCATACAAAATGTAAGATGAACAATGTGTTTGATGTACCTCTTTAAGATACTTCTACTTATCTAACTTGCTTCATTTACAAGTGAGGCTTGGAGACATGATAACTCCTAATAATAAATCATAAATCCAACTTGAAAACCTAGGAGAATAATAGAGTCACACAAATTAAAAGCGGAGAAAATTTGCACCTCAAAAATTGTTAAAATAAGTGATATAAATAAACGACAGAATCAGAAAAAATATATAGATGAAATAATTGTTCAGATAATGTGTGACAACCTGGGATCAAAGGTGGCATTCCCTAATTTTTCTAATCACTGGTCTTCATGTTATTATTTCCTTTTATAGCCATGTATTTTATTTAGTTTTAGTTATATCAATGTTTATTTCCATGTTTTAATATTAAAAATCAACAATTTCGTTTCACATTATTCGTTCACAAAGTTTTGCATTGTACCCTTTTGACCATTTGACCTGTTCATTCAGTGCAGTCTATAGTACTATACTGCTGCTATAACAGAGCTTTAGTCTGAACTGGGTGAACTCTATACAAACTTTTTAAATAGACAATTAGTTACAGTGTACATTTTTGATAATCCCTTAGCTGTAAGGATCATCCCTTTGTTTAACCCTGGTTCCTTTGGTCTTGGGCACTTTTTCACTGGATTTGACTGAGACACATGAACCTCACTTCTGTACTTTACTTTCAACAATTTACTACAGAAAATGGCTAGAAATTCAGATCAGAAATTGATAAACTTTACATTTTACTTTGTGCTTTAAAAGTTTATGTAGAATCTTACATTAAACACTTGAAATTTCATAACACATCATGAGAACTTTTACTTCGTCAGTCATTCATCACTGGGACATATTATATACAGAGACATTACTTAATTGGATCATGAACCAATCAAAGCCAGAAGTCTGGGTAAGCCACATGACACTATTCTAGTGCCACACAAATGTGGAGCCTCCAACCACTGCCACCATTTGTGACGACATGGCCCTGGGGCAATAGTTAAACAATAAATCAAATAAAGGGGAAACAAGTTAAACTGCTAACAAAATCAAGGACATCAGTGGAAGGGGTAAAAAATAACCAAATAACAATTGGAAGCGTGACAAGTAAATATGGGGGCAATAAATTTATACAAGAACACAAATGTGTACAAAATGTCCCCACCTATGGGTGATCTCATCAAATGGTTATCCTAAAAATGAGTAGACAAGACTTTAACGACACAATTTGAGGATGGAAAATCCAATATGGCCACCTTTAAATTTACCCAGAATGCCCAAAAATTAGTCAGTTTTGGATTTTCATACTAAGAAGCACCCCTGAAAATTTGAAATTGATCCGTCACACAGTTAACCAGAAAACATGTAAACAAGACTTTACAGACAAGATTTGAGGACCGAAAATCCAAAATGGCTGCCTTGACATTTATCCAGAATGCCAAAAAACTAATCTGTTCTAGATTTTCATACTAAGAATCATCCCTGAAAATTTGAAATTGATCTACCAAACGGTTCACCTGGAAATGCGTAGACAAAACTTTACAAACAAGATTTTAGGACAGAAAATCCAAAATGGCTGCCTTGACATTTACCCAGAATGCCAAAAAACTAATGAGATCTAGATTTTCATACTAAGAATCATCCCTGAAAATTTGAAACTGATCTACCAAACAGTTCACCTGGAAATGTGTAGACAATACTTTACAGACGAGATTTTAGGACAGAAAATCCAAAATGGCTGCCTTGACATTTACCCAGAATGCCCAAAAACTAATCAGATCTAGATTTTCATACTAAGAATCATCCCTGAAAACTTGAAATTGATCTACCAAACGGTTCACCTAAAAACGCGTAGACAAGACTTTACGGGCAAGATTTTAAGACGGAAAATCCAAAATGGCTGCCTTGACATTTATCCAGAATGCATTAAAACTAATGAGATCTAGATTTTCATTCTGAGAATCATCCCTGAAAATTTGAAATTGATCTACCCAACGGTTCACCTGAAAATGCGTAGACAAGACTTTACTGACAAGATTTTAGGATGGAAAATCCAAAATGGCTGCCTTGACATTTACCCAGAATGCCCAAAAACTAATCAGATCTAGATTTTCATACTAAGAATCATCCCTGAAAATTTGAAATTGATCCACCAAATGGTTCACCTGAAAACGTGTAGACAAGACTTTACACACGAGATTTTAGGACCGAAAAATCCAAAATGGCGGACAATAAAAAAGTGATTATGAGTTTTTGCTAATTTCTTTCAACAAAATTATCACATATAACTACTGTTAACAATAACATAGGCTTTTACAACAAAGTACACCTGAAATTATTTATAAAGCTACTAAATAGTTTAAGTATGAAAACTGAATAACACCATTCAATATGATACAAAGTATTATCGTGCGCTAACTTTTCTTAAAACATTCAAAATGGCTGACATGACTGAGCTTACAGGTCCAAAACCTAATCAGATCTAGAATGAAGTGAGCTGAACAAGATGTTAAAGTTTTAAAAGCAACTGTGAAGCCGTTTTTCTTAAAGTTTGCAGACAAGGATTTTAGCATTTGACTTCAAAATGGCCGACAGGAAGTTGGTATCGAGTTAATTTTTTTTCATCCACATCTGTATGCACTCATAAGTTATCCCTGAAAATTTGAAGGTGATATCTGTAGCGGTTTTGGAGAAAACTCCCGGACGTACGGACAGACGGACAGACAGACGGACGGACGCGCCTAGGCCGACAATATGGCCCCACACTATGTGGTGGGGACATAAAAAAAGCGCTCTAGATGCAGTGCCAATGAGTAATAATCTGGTACCTGGGACCTAAGTAGTTAACTGGTACCTGTTACCTGAGTAATAAACTGGAACTTGGAACCTGAGTAGTAACAATCTTGGACCTCAGTAGCAAACTGGTAGCTGTTACCTGAGTAATAAACTGGAACTGGACATGAGTACCAATCTGGGACCTCAATGGCAAACTGGTACCTGTTACCTGAGTAATAAACTGGAACTTGGGACATGAGTAACAACCTGGGACCTCAAAAGCAACTGGTACCTGTTACCTGAGTAATAAACTGGAACTGGACATGAGTACCAATCTGGGACCTCAATGGCAAACTGGTACCTGTTACCTGAGTAATAAACTGGAACTTGGGACATGAGTAACAACCTGGGACCTCAAAAGCAACTGGTACCTGTTACCTGAGTAAACTGGAACTGAATTTCTAGCCTTCATAGTTGAACTGTTTTTGTTTGTTCGTTTGTGGGAATGACTGACCCTTATCTGATAGTATCTTAAAAGTATGAAACAATAGAGTTATCTTACCAACCTTCTAAAAATAAATACCTTATTCTCTTCCTTCTTTAGGTTGATGAGATATCTGGAACATCTTTCACTTACATAGAACTTGTAAATGCAACAGAGTGTGTTGGAAGTGCACTAATTAAACTTGGATTCAAAAAGGGAGATGTACTGTGTCTCTACAGCCCAAACAGTATAGAATGGGCCATCACATACTTTGCAGTTATCGCCATAGGAGGGATTGCCACTACAGCAAATCCATTATACACTACTGGTACAAAACCCCTTCAGTCTAGAATTTCCTTCCCTTCCCCCTCCCTCTCATCAGTTTCAATTCGCCTGTTTATTTGCTTCTTTACCGGCAACTCCACTGAGTAGTAAATCCCAAGCAATAAAATATTCATGAATCTGTCATAATGTTATAAGTATTTATCATCTTCTCTGTCAATGATTTGCAGTTTAAAAGACACAAATCATGAAGACAACGATACAATATTAGAGATGAAATTAATTATAATGCAACCATCCTTCAAAGGGTTCTCCAAATTATAGTGAATTCCTGCTTTAGACAACCATTTTGTATTTTGTGAGGCATGAATCACAAAATCAAAACCATTATACTCTGAAATTCCTTCAATCAATTTGAGTGTAATATAGCCTTACTTTGAAGAAATTAGAAAATTATTGCAAAATCCCACATTGGGTGGCAATTTTTAATTTTCTGTTTTCTCGACCCCCCCCCCCCACATGGCCCCTGTGGTCAGGCTAAAAACACAGAATACATATGAAACACATATATTTTGAGAATATACTGACAAAATTTCAAACATTTATACTTATAAATTGTACTTTGATGAAAATTTCCACCATTTCTGAAGCAGTGGTTAAATTTTGAAAAAATTGTTTTTTCCCTATTAACCAATATACATCAATCCACTAATCCAATAAGAACAAAACCCGTGCACTAATATTTGAGACTGATGGAGTAACAGACAGAGGACTTCACTTTATAGATTTAACTATAGATTTTTTTATATATATTGTATTTCTTTTTTACAATAAACACTACTATAGATTGTGTGTTACAGATGAGATTCAATATCAACTGAAAGATGCAAATGCAACATATATTGCTACATCTATTGAACTTGTGTCTAAAGTCAAGCAGGCTGCAACAAAGTACACTAAACTCAAGGTAAAATATATACGTTAAGGTATTTGTATACCCGGAGGCCTAAAAATAACTCAACGATGAAGTGTATATATTTTTTATTAAAATGACCAATACATAACTATGTTTCATAATCAAACAAAAATAGTTTTTTTTCTTTTTTTACACCAAGCTAGAAAACCTTTTGCTCCCCATGTTAAGGAATAGGAGAGTAGGAGATAGGGAGGCTGTATTATCTTCAAAACTGAACGACAGGATTTTTTGCACACTGTAAAGTTTGTAATCAAAGTTAATTTTAAGAAAATGAGATTTTTATTATTGCCCCTCAAAATAATACAATTATGTATTATTTTGTTGAATATATTGCTATTTATGAAGCAAAGATACACTAAAAATGCCATTACTTGGCATAATTGATTAAATTCATCAAAATTATGTATCCATATAAAGTAAGAAACTCATTTTCAAAAGATCATGAAATTCATTTGACCAAAAGCTGAACCCTTATCAATTCAATGCCTCTATGCTATAACATGGAGCCATCTATTGCAAGTATAACTACCTTAACATCAAAAACAACAATAAAACATACATTTAAGAAAATCAAATATAGTTTAATTACAATATCAAAAACATGAGAAGATAAAATACACATGGTATTCATAAAAAAGAAACACTTCCTATTCAAGTCAAGACAAACATTTCATGATAATTCTCGAAATCGTTGTTCCCTCTTCAAAAGGTTCACCTATATATTCGTTCATATTCCCGGTCGAGAGAACAGAAAAAATTATAAGAAACGATTGATCTCTTATTAATCTTAATACAACAGCTATTTTTTCATTGTATTGCCTTCATAGCGTGGTGAAAACAATGATTGAAAAGTGAGAAAATATTCCAGAAAAGAAGGTCACGTGATCAGTTGACTAGTCGCCATATTGGAAAAAACAATTCCATTCGACTTTCAATACTTTCATGCTAATCTTACCGCACTTCAAACTGCAACATCGATGCAACAACTGAATAAAAGTATTCATCTTCAAATTACATTTTAGAGTTTTTTGTTTGTTTTTTTTTTGTTTTTTTTTTATTAAAACATGATAACATTTTTACATATTCGTGGTCGTGACACCTACATAGGTATATAATTGACCACATTTAAAATCATTTTTCTAAAATTTCCAAGTGCTTGAAAGTTTAACACAACATGACACTGGGTGAACCATAATTTGTCTCATGAATTAAAAACATTGGTAAAAAATAATGTACAATAAAGAGGATGGAATTACCTTATGTTTGCAGAACATCAAAATCAGTATTTTGAAAAAGTGTCATCTTTAAAAAGACGTTTTAGTTTATAAATATTATTGGTAAGTTTAATAGTATTAGGAATTTTATTCCAGATAATTTCACCTTGTACTTTAAAACTGTATCTTAAATAATTGGTTTTGAATTTTGTTACATGAACTTGTTCATTCTGTCTAGTGTTGTGTTGATGAACACTATTGTTTTTTCCAAAGAAGTCAATAAAAATGTCACTTGGAAAAGAATCGGGTCTGTTAATACATCTGTAAGTTAGTTGCAGAATATTAAGGTCATATATGTCAGTAAATTTTAGAATTTTGAATTGTTTAAAGAATGGCCCGGTATGTTCTCTATTTCCGCTGTAAGTAATAATTCTTAAAAAACGTTTTTGTAGTTGAAATATTGAATTCGTTGCAGTTTTGCCTGCATTTCCCCAAGCACATATACAGTATTGAATTTGAGAATATATAAGTAAATAGTAAATTGATAGAAGTGTTTTTGTATTTAGTTTATGTCTACTTTTAAATAGTATCCCGATGATTTTTGATATTTTAAGCGATATTTTTTTATATGTTCCTTCCAGTTTAAATCCTCATCAATAATTATCCCTAAGAAGTTGAATGATTGTACTCTCTCTACTAAATTATTTCTTATTTTGATCTCAATATTTTGTGGATCTTTATGTTTGCAGGTTGTATATATCATAAATTTTGTCTTCTGTACGTTAAGAGATAGCTTATTAGCACAAAACCAATCATCAATTTTATACAGTTCACAATTTAATTTAGTTATCAGATTATTTATGTTCTTATCAGAATACAAGATGTTTGTATCATCTGCAAAAACTACATATTTTAACAAAGAACTTGAACATATAATGTCATTGATATATATAATAAACAAAATAGGACCTAAGGTAGTGCCTTGTGGAACTCCACATGTGATTGATTGTTCCTGAGATTTAACATTATTATCACCATATACAGTAAATTGTTTTCGATTATTTAGATAACTTCTAAACCAATCATTAGCTTTTCCTCTAATACCATAAAAATTGAGTTTAGATAATAAAATGTCATGATTAACAGTATCAAATGCTTTACTGAGGTCCAAGAATATGCCAATAGAGAACTGTTTATCATCTAATGCTCTACGCAAATTTTCTAAAAAAGAAAGTATAGCCAAGTAAGTGGATCTATTTTTTCTAAAGCCAAATTGATTACGACACAAAAGTTTGAATTTTTCAAAAAAATCTGTTAGTCTATGAGCCATTACTTTTTCAATTATTTTTGAAAAAACAGATACTAAAGAAATAGGTCTATAGTTACTGAAGAATTGTTTTGTACCTTTTTTATATAATGAAATTACCTTGGCAACTTTCAAATCATCTGGAAAGATGCCAGTTTTAAAAGATAGTTGAGTTAGGAATACAAGAGGTTTTGCAAGGATGGCACTACTATTTTTGATAACTATAGGCTTTATATCATCATTACCAGCAGATTTATCTTTCAAATTATCTAAAATTGATTTTATTTCGTCAAAAGTGACATGTCGTAGATATAAACTTTGGCTTAAAGAATTAGACATTTTCTTCAAATAATGTTGAAATGTTTTATGAGAATTAGGTATGTTTTTTGCCAAATTATTTCCAACATTGACAAAATAATCATTAAAACCATTAGCTATTTCTTTGGGATTAGTAAATGTTTTATTATTGTGTATAAATTTATCAGGTGATATTTGCAATTTCTTTCCTCTGTTTAATATTTCATTAATGTGTGTCCAGGTGTCTTTTATATTACCAGATGATTGTTCAAATTTATATCTGTAATGAAGTTTTTCTGCATGTCGAATAGTTTGCCTTAGAATGCGTTTATACTTTTTGTAAGATTCAAGCTTATCTTTTGTAGAGTGCTTTAAATAGTTAATATAAAGTTTATTTTTAAATTTTATAGAGGTCAAAATTCCTTCTGTCAGCCAAGTTTTTTTATTGTTGTAGTAATATTTAATATATTTAGTAGTTACCGGGAAGCATTCATTATAGAGACTTTGAATTTTTTCAATAAAATATGCATAGCCTAAATTAACATCATCAAATTCATATAGCTGGGAAAAGTCAAGTTCAGAAAGGCGTGATTTAAAGGTAAACCCACAAAACCCACAAAAAACTGAGCAGTAGACCAAAGAAGATGCGTCGCTCTTATCTAGGTCAATCTGTTCAGTGGTCCGAAAGCAAATCTATAGTACTCGTTTCCGAATTTTGTAGTTCATTGTACAATCTTTTATTGATTAAACTTGGTATACTGACTATTAAAGCAATGACAAAGAAGAATACTTCCGATGGTGTCATTGTTTTATTTAGCATGCGGGTGTAAAAACAAAATTGCGTAATTAGTTTCATTTAGAACTTTCGGGTCACGCAAATAGTCTACGCGAAATGCATAGTGGGTAAATATTGACCTATCAAATTTTGTCCTTGTTTGAGTGCTTCTTCACTGCATATTTGCGAACGTTCTGATTCAAAGAGCGAACCGCAAAAGTGAGAATTGTAATGGCACTCTGATTAGGGAGAATTGTAATGGCACTCTGATTAGGGAGAATTGCAATGGCACTCTGATTAAACATTATTATTAAATGTTTCAGAAAATCATTGTGTTTGGTGGCAAAACTTTGTTTGATTGTACAAGCTTTAATACTCTTATGGGAGACAAAGGTGATGCTTTCAAGTTGCCAACAATAAATGCAAAGGAAGACATTGCTGCTCTTCCATACTCAAGTGGCTCAACAGGGCTACCAAAGGGTGTAATGCTGACCCATTTCAACCTAGTTGCAAACATACAACAACTTAAGTAAGCTATTGTGTGTGAGGGTAATTTTACTTGGCTGTTAAGTAATAAACTTTTTGCAAATAAAATAATTCAATCACCATGTTTACATATCTATTTGTGCTATTTTCATATATTTAAAAATTTCATTTGTGTTATACATTTCAGTGCTTCGCCCTATTTTCTGAGTACTCATATAGGAGATTGCCATATTGCAGTTTTGCCATTCTTTCATATATATGGTCAAATACTTATCTTAGCTGGGGGATTATGTGATGGTGCTACTGTTGTTACAATGCCAAGATTTGACCCTAAACAGTATCTGAGTGCTATACAAAAATATAAAGTAAGTGAAGTTTACTACAGCAAGGATGTGAGAAAAAACATGTTGTGGCTTTAAAGTTTACATTAAAGATGTCCTATTGAGAGCATAAATGAGAAATATGTATTTCACTGTCTTTTCAATGTCTCCGGTTAAACATTACAGCCTATTATACATAGAGCTAGTAAAATAAACAAGATTTCAATTTATGGCAGGCAATAAGACTGTTCATCGTTCCTCCCATGATGTTATTCCTAGCAAAGGACCCAATAGTGGACAAGTATGACCTCTCAAGTGTGAAGGACATTATTTGTGGAGCTGCTCCATTGAGCAAAGAATTACAAGTGGATGTCATGACCAGATTAAAGTGCAACATATTACAAGGTTTGTGAGCAGTAAAGAATTTAATAATGTGCATTGTGCTCACTTCTCCATGTTTATACATCCCTTTTCACTAAATATTCAATATTTATATAATTTGTACAAGAAGGAATAATGCTTTTCTAAATGTTGTCCAAAGGGTATGGAATGACAGAACTTTCTCCTGTGTCTCATTTTTCTCCTACAAAAGAATGGAGAATTGATGCAGTTGGCGTGTGCATACCTAACACAAAAAGCAAAGTATGTAGACATTGTTGAGGCATGGGTCATGGTTAAAATTGAAAAACTATTTTTTCACTTTAAAGTATGTGAATTCCATTACTGATAGTAATAAGTTTAATTAAACGTATTGCAGTCTTATTTCTAATTGCTTAAATCTACTGTTTGGGTTGTTTTTGTCTTCTAGTCATTCTTTGCTTTAGATTATAAACATGGACACTGGTGTTGCACTTGGTCCACATATGGATGGTGAGGTGTGTGTAAGAGGCCCACAAGTTATGAAGGGATATCTGAACAATTATGAGGCAACTGCTAACACAATTGACAAGGATGGTTGGCTACATACAGGTGTGTCACCAATGACTAATAACTTGTTGATTATCCATATCATTCAAAAACAGGCTTTGTATAAAAAAAACCTCCTACCTCATACCCACCTACCCACGTACGTGGAACATGATGCAGTCATTGAAGGGTTCATTTAAAAGATTTTTTAATCTCAAAATAGCTTAAATTATTAACATTTCTACAATTCCAGCTTTATATTATGACTAGACAGATGACAGATCCATAAATAAAGGCATATGGATGCATTTTAATGTGTAATATGCATCTATAATTCATCATATAATAAGATTTAATAAACTAAGTTCTTTAAAATTGAACCCTTCAAATACTGTATCATGTCCGATGTACGTGGGTAGGTGGGTATGAGGTAGGAGGTTTTAGATTAAGTCTTGATCAACTACAAACAATCATTTGATTTTCCTAAATCAGATTATCATTAATCAGTAAAATTAAAACATCTAGTATGTCTACATTTAAGGTGATATAGGACATTATGATCATGATGGATATTTCTTTGTGGTTGACAGACTCAAAGAATTAATCAAATACAAAGGATTTCAGGTATGCAATAAAAAATTAAAATAAATATTTACATGCTCATACAAGAGCTAAAGATAACAAGAGCTTAAAGATAGCAGACATAATTACATCTGTTGCCTACCACCTTTGTTTGTTCAAATCTTCATTTATTGATGTTAGCATATTCCTTACGCCTTTCTTGATCTTGATGTGAAATAACAATGTCATGATATAAGTTAGACTTTTCATTAATATTTTAGGTTGCACCAGCAGAGCTAGAAGGTTTGTTGTTGACACATCCAGATATTGCTGATTCTGCAGTCATAGGTGTTCCAGACATTGTAGCTGGGGAACTGCCTAAAGCATTTATTGTAAAGAAACCAGGTGCAACTATAACAGGAGCACAGATTTGTCAATTTGTTGAAGGTTTGTATTCCTTATTTTATGTGTCAGTGCTTTATACATTTTGAAATGCAATAACTTCAAAGGTTTTACATTAAAATGCATATTATTTTCAAATTATTCTATAATTAGAAAAAGCACTGTTCCACAGTTGAATGATTCTAAGTGCAGTTAGTATCATTCGAGATGGTGGCCAAAATTCCAATGATTTCAGCTAAACTAAGTTCCAAATGTTTTTCCATGTAAACTAATAAAGTAAAAATTGTAAACAGCCAGGAAAATCCTCAGACACCCGCATTAATAGAGAATTTAAAAAACAGCTTTACAGAATTACTCTAACTACTAAAGTTGATGATACACTAACTCAAACATGATATTCACCATTGATGGCACTAACTCAGATGACCATATATGTATTCATCCCATAGAGTTAGTATCATCCACTGTTTCAGTTAGTGTCACTCCTACGTCATCATCAAGTTCAGTCAGAGTCATTCTAAGTGAGGCCATTTTTTTAAATTTCTCCTATATCCTGGATGTTTGAATGTTTTCTTGTGCCTGTTTACAATCATTACTTCATTGGTGTACATGGCAAAATATTTGGAATCCAGATTAATCTTAGTTTAGCTGAAATAGGAAGTTTATCGAAAACGAAAGAATTTTGGCCACCATCTTGAATGAAACTAACTGCAGTTAGAGTCATCCAGCTGTGGAACAGTGAAAAGCCTAAGGCATATTTTAGAACACAAATACAATAGAACCAAACAACCATCACATCAAAAATATATTATTAATTACTTTTCTCAAATATCAAATTTATTATTTGGTTCCATGTTTTAATCAATTTTTCTGGTATGAAATTTGAATTTTTTCAGAATTGGTTGCTCCACACAAAAAGCTAAGAGGTGGTGTAGAATTCTGTCAAGAAATACCAAAATCACCAAGTGGGAAAATTCTTCGAAGAGTCTTGAGACAAATAATTAAGGACAGGCTGAAATCAAAACTATAAATGATATATGGGTTGGTATTTAAGATAACTGAAACCTGTGTTCCAATTTTGTTAATAATTGATAATAAATTGACCAAGTACTACAGAACCACAATAGGAGGGCAATAAACTTTAAGACCCCATACATTGATATCTGACATTTGTTATTATAAGGAAAAAATGACCAGAGAGCCTTAAGTCTCTCATAAGCCTCAGCTGGCAGGACTGTTAATTATTATTGTATAATATTTTAGTATGTGTATTGTAAACAGTGTGAGACTTGAATAAATATTTTACTAACTGACTAACTTCACACAGAATCCCATCTACTGAAATTTCCTGAGGCATCAGACAATAAATGTCACCTTTCATTTCCACATCTCTACAGACTGGCAAATATATGATTAACATGATACAATAACTTCATACATTTAGAATATTATATTTAGTGCATTAGGAAGAATACACTAATGATAAATTGTTGTTTATGAGACAATGTGAGAACAAAACAATTCCTGTATACATATATATGTATGTCTATCTGGTGTATTTATCTCATTTAAATGTATGTTTGAACAGAATAAATTAATCACATGGTTAACAATATTATAAGTCCATCATCTGTAATATTTCTATATATGCTCAAATGTCATAGATAAGTCATATATAAGTGGCAAAAGCTCATGCAGATATCAATTTATTAAGGCTGTTTTGTGGGAAGAAACCCTTAGTTAAATTAAAATTGACTGTGCTTCTTGACAGACAAGCCTTCACCTAGTATATAGTTATAGTGTCATGTTATTGTATGTGCATAAAGTACTAGAGAGTCATAATTACCATATATTAGAACAGAAATAGTGACTAAGATGCATCAGCATACAATATGTATCAGGATTACTTTTTACTATGACAATCTTATGAGTTCATGTTTCATTTCTTTGAAATTTCACTTGCACTCAGATATGTGAAGTCATTGATAGCCATTGAAGCCATGGAAATAGAGGTATGTAATTCAACAAGTATGTCAGTATCATTGAATATATGTCTTTGGTCTGTCGTTATATAGCCTGAGCTTGAAAGCTTGTTCTAAATAATATTACTTCAGTATCATCAATGTAAAAATACAAACAGGAGCACAAAAGCATATAAATGAGATTTCATTTTGCTAAGTAACCAAAAATACAAACACAGCTTAGTATTCAGAATTTAGTTGCTGCTTTCTATTGGTCTTTCCATAGTTGTCCTTCTATCCTTGCATACATGACTAGTGTATATCTAGTGATGCTGGTAAATGTCATGACAATATCCAAATTGTTTATATATTGGCAAGCTAAGCATAGTCTGGCTTTGCTGCTGCATTAATATTGTGTCCTCACTTCAGCGATCATAACATCACCCTCAACATAAAGGGTATTGATGGTGCTGAGGTTAGCCATGCGATGTTCAAAGTCAAGGTAATGCTGATGATTGACAGCAACCTGTGGAAAAAACAACATAAAACCACTCATACATCTCTGAGGATACTGTCCACTGAATAACAGCACACAACTGTGATGTTGTAACATTCAAGAATACACAGAAAAATTATCACAGATTCTGATGAAGCTTTAATTTCAATATAACAGACAAATAATCACAGATTCTGATGAAGCTTTAATTTAAATATATTCAATCAAAATGAGGATTTAAAAAACATATACCTTGAAACCATCTTCCTCTACCAGGATTAAGATGGTGAAGGGTGTGTCTGGTTTGAATGGGAATCCAGGGGCTTTAGTCTCCTCATCTCCCCACTTGCCCTTGTTCATGTTGTTTCTGACAACCTGCTTCTTTGGTTTGAAACGAGGGTTAAAATGCAGGGCAATGTCAGCATAGGGGGATCCAATGTCAGCACTTTGAAGATTTATGTGGAATCTTGAAATATAAGTAATGCAAATTAGATAATATTATAAGTTATACTATGTAAGATTAATTTGACAGTAATCTGCATACTCCTCCAATGATGGTATAACAAAAGATAGTTTTATTCTATCTATGGGATACAGAGCTCTTTTAACATGTTCAATGAAAACGTTTGAAAAAGCTGAGGATAATGAAAAAAATAAATGTTAGAAATATAATTTCAGTAGGTTCCTGTGACTCAATTGAATTATTTTATATGCTTCATTGTTTAGTTAATGATCTCTGTGGTTTATACAAATAACCAAATCAAATATATATTCACTTCTAAACTAAATTATGTAGGTATACATACCTCTGACTATCTTTCTTAATTTTTCCAGCAAGGAAGATCATTGTTCCAGGTTGAATACCAGATGGCAACTGCTCTGTGTATGGAACACTCTTTAATAAAATATAATTGGAATATACAATTCATAATATACATTTTTTGTAATAATTCCTTATGGTGCATGTAGTTATAAAGTCACAATAATGATAATCCATGTGCCATCTTTAGTTTATTTTGTATGTTTTTTTACATTTTTAAAGAAAATACTAAGGTTATTGTATGACCCTTAAATACATTTTTATCAATAAAATGTTTCTGGCTTGGATCAGAAAAGTGTGTTCATGTGGTGTTGTTTTATTTGTGTCCTTATTGTTGCTACTTTTGTTTTTTGATTCCCAAACTTTCTTTAGATGTAACTTACCACATTGAATGCTGGTTCAGAGAGGGCTTGCTGAAATAAAAAAATTATTCCATCAAAATGTATTTTTAAACGTTGATTTTACATCTTGCTTATAGGTCAAATATTCCTTATTCCAAATAAGCAATTATAAAAATGATGTAAAATCATGTAACATCAAATGTTCAGTCTTTGGATTGTCTTTAAATCAAACTTTCCAACTTTCAGGTAATTTTCAGGTCATACTTTTCTTAAAACAATATTGGCATGTGTACCCAACTAATCCCAAACAGCTATTTCAGAGCTTTAAAGTACTACATTTAGCAGTTGCCTGACAACAATGGAAAAGAACATAAGCTCAAGCTACTGTAATTACAAATATATACATGTACATAGATAAACTCAATGATGAACAACAAAGGTCAAGATCACTATAAAGATTCAAACCATATTGTACTACCATAATCCCTCATCTCCTTCATATTACTATTGGTTGCAATAGATTATAACCAAATATCTTAAATTACCAATTTATCATATAGGACATATCTAATATATATGTTTTATTTAATAAAACTGGCACGATTCACTCTTATTTGCATGATATTATATTCATATCCTTATATGCCCATATACTTTTTATAATACATTTGGGAGGGGATTACAATAAAATGTGTGAAAGCGCTGGTGACTACTTCTAATTTAAAGCAGGGAAGTTACTTATAACTTACTTCAAGTGTGAACTGGTTCTAAAACATTAAAAGGAAATAAGAGATATCCCAGATGATAAAGAGCATCTTGATACAACTATTGTGACGCCTCATAATAAACACATGTTAGACCAATCAAAGTTAATTGTCTGTTTATTGTTTTATTTATTGCATTCCTGCAGGTGATTTATAGTCAAAAGTACAAATCCCATAAAACACATAGAGAGGGTGAGTTCATATTACCTGTCTATTATTAAAGGCAATATTGAAGCTCAGACACATTTAGTTTTCAATTCAGTACATGTAACTCCAGATCACAATTTCAAGTTTCAAGAGAGTGAGGTGGTATCTGACTTTGAATGGCCTTATGAGAGAAAAATAGAATAGAAACTGTTATATAATATGATACACTGAAAATATTGATAATCTAGTTATGTGCGATGAGAATGAATGTAGGATGTGCAAATAATACAAATATGGCTCTGTGTGAAATCATAAAAATGTGATCCACAAGCTTACCACAGTGTCTCTTGGTTGGGTAGCTGTAATAAGGGCAACATCTCCATCAATCATTACTTCTCTGATGTTATCCTTCATTACACGGTGGTTGTATTCACAGTAATGCTGGCCATTTATAGCCACCTAAATGCAAAATTAAAATGCAATGCGAATACAATTAAAACTACTTTACTTACTTATGCAATATATGGATAAAATAAATGAACATGCATAAAATAAAACAGAATAATAAAAAGACTACATCATTTATAGATATAATATTATAGACAAAAATGAAAAAATGCATTAATGAATAAATAAAACCAATATAATAAAGCTAATAACCACAGATTACATTGAATAAATCAATAAGTATTTGATAGATAAAATGAATTGGTTTATACTAGTTTGATTAATAAATAACTCTACATTTGGATGGGTCTCAGTCTTACCCTGAAACAATCATCTTGGACAAGGATAACTATGTCAAATGCTGAATCCTTCTTCAGTGGGAATGCACCAGAATCTTCTTCGGGACCCCAACCATTGCCTATCTTTGTATTTCTAACAATACGGTCAGACTCAAAGAAGCCTGCAGCAAATCGTGGGTTGAGGTGGAAGGCCCAGTTATCATCATCACAGATTAGGTTAATTTCAAACCTATAGGCATAAATAGATGGCATTAATTATAAATTATCAATGAATAATAGTACATAGCATATAGCAAAAATTAGAGGTCACATTTGCATGGGATAGATGTGATAATCAAAACACATTCCTCATAATGATAAGTATACTGATTTATGTCTGGATATAAAAGGTGATAGGCAAATAATTAACACATACGTGTACAATACTGTATATTGTAATGACCCTTTAAATAGTATAATAATGAAAAAGTTCACAAAGTGGAATAAATATTATGTTGAGTGCAGCTGTACATTAAATTATCAAATATCATTTCTATGTATGTACACTGTACAAATTGTATATGCAAAATACTTAGAATTTATGAGCAGAGGGCGGAGGTTTACACTTGAACTTTAAGACTATAAAAATGCATTACAAACACTACAAGTCATATGAGTAAGTAAATGACTGACCACAAAAAAACAAGTGGCAATCCTTCTTATCTCCATTTTACAGTGAGCATATATGAAAAATGATAATGTGAAAAATCATGATTTTACATGTAATAGTCAAGAAAATAGTAGATTCCATCAGCCTAGTTGTTTCTTTATATTCCTATCAAGAACTGATGAGGAACAAGCATTTTTTTAAATTCTTATTCATAGGCATTCAAAATTATATCCCTTGCTATGCAATTCAAACATCTACCTTTTTGCATTTTTAGGAATCCATCCCTGTACTACAACAATGTTGCCATGGTTTAGTCCACCTTGGCTCACAGGGAATCTGTAGGGCAACACCTAAAAATGAAATAATGCAATAACATGTGTATCATAAACCAATTATAAAGGGTGTTCAATAAATACTGATAAAATGGATTTTTTGTTCTGATTCATTTTTTTGGGAATGTGTATGGTTGTCTTCATTAAGATTTTCTAGAAAATACAGATGTGAGTTCATCCCATAGAAACTAACTATCTTTATATCAATTGTGAAGATCTAGGGATTACTTACAAATTATCTATTGCTGGTAAACATGGCAGTTGATCTGGGAACACTTATAATACAATCATCTTATTAAATTTGTATCATATCTCTTTATAAATTACATACAAAACAACCCCACTATGGATAGACTAATTAAAAAACAAAACATTTTATGTACGTGTGTTAAATTCTTGCAGTCAAATATCAATGCTCATTATACAAAAATATTGACACGCCTAAAATATGAGAATGATGTAAAAGAGCATTGAATAAAAAAAATTATCAACCATATTCATTCAATTGAAAAAAACTTGTTCCTTGTACATATTTCATAATGTACATAGAAAATGGATGAAAAATGAAAAAAGTCATACAACAATGAAATAAACAAATTGAGAAAATTGATGAGCAGCAATTATATGGTATACCCCATTAAAATTTAAATAGAAAAATAAGAAAAATATACTCACAGTGCCTCCAGGATATGATAAAACTCCAGATGATGCCATTTTCTTTGTAAAGGATTCTCCTAAGTGTCACCTTGGGTTTTTAGGTCTGAGGGACTTTGAGCAATGCGCGTTGTGGACTATATTTCAATTAATACCTGAGGAGGTATATATTGACCAAAGTTTAACAGGTCTTATCAATCATCAAATATGATGTTTGTTAATGGATAACCAATAACCAAAATGCTACATTTTTGTTTGTTCAACTTGTTTACAAAGATGTATGATAGGACACACAAAATAGTAATATTTAATAAGTATTTACAACGGATGTACTGATAACAGCTTGGATAATTGGTGTACTTCATAATTTGGGGAAAACGTAACGATAGTACATGTTAATGTGAAATGCCTATGGTCATATCATTATAATTAAATGACACGATTGCTGATAGCAGTTGTGTATTCAAATGTATTTAGATGATGTTCAACAGGGAGTCTACTACATTGTGTCATGATGAACTTTGTGATTTACATTTAGGGAGTCAACAAATATATTCATCTTGGAGTCGGCACTAAAATGTCATTAAGTTCTTAAATTAAAAGCATGATATTTAACAGTAAAATTAAGTGACAATTAAAAAGGAGAGATGTGAAAATGTTTTTTTTGCTTTAATCATTTGAATCCCTTATTTTTCTCTGTAGAAGTGATAAATTTTCTTTCCTTCCTTTCCAAAAGCCTTTTTTTAGAAACAATTGACTTGGAGACTCCTCCTTTATGAGACAACACATTCATATGTCACTACTTATTGTCATCAATATGGTTATTGATCACGTTATCCAAATTGTCACGAGAAGGTGTATAATTAATACTTCCAAGTATTCACCTTTTAAATGTCAACAAAATCTCTACACTTCTTTTCCAGCAAAAGCGTATGAATAAAAACATATAAAATGGTCCTCATTTATCAATTTGGCTGATATTTTCATTGAAGTGGGCTTAATTTCTTTTGAAAGCATGACTGACATTGTCATTGCATGTGCTGGTTCATTTTGTCTGCAATTAAGCAGCTTTTGAGATGAAAATAAATTGTTTGTAAATCTTGAAATTTCTTGGGAAAATGACCTGCTCCACCCCATTGATCAAATTAGGTGATTGCATCCTGTGTGCATGGAACTCGGATGTTCAAGACAAATGACAGGTGTGTGAGTACTGTGATAAGGTAGTACTTCCTCAGGAACTTTCATCTAGTTAATACTGATATACAATGGCATTCACTGACTGATCATATTAGTATACAGGGTGGATGTAGTAATCCACTCAGGCAGAGAAATGCTATTACATCTTTTACAATGCAAGGATCTTTCAAATTAAATGTCTGTTTAGCATTGCCTGTCTTATTAATTCACCACCTACATTCTCAAATCATTCTCTTGGGTTTTTTCAAGAAAAAATGTTCTGTGATTACAATGAAATTTGGAATACAAGGCATTAACATGACAAAATGTCACCAACTAGTTGCTCACAATATTATGAGTTCAATCTTAAGTCAGATTTGAGCTTCTGATAACTTGTAGATGATTTTGCAAAAATTGGTCAATTTGGAACAAGTTGGAAAAATACCTTTTTTGACCACGAGAAGGTCATTGAAGGTCAAATCCTAATTCAGATTTGAACTCTTGAGAACTTGTAGATGATTTTGGAAAAAATGGTCAATTTGAAGCAAGTTGAAAAAAGATCTTTAAATCACTTAAAAAACCTCCATAAATATTTGCAAAATTAGACCACCATTGAATTATTTAATGTTGACAGTTATAGATGAGAACTGGCTGATTATCTGATGTCAGTGTGCATTTTATAACTATGAAACAAATTTGAGAGGGCCTATTCAGATAAGGTTTAAGACCCTATAAAACAAGACATGAAAAGGTGCAAAACATATCAAAAAGTACTTATAATGTTTATTGTGAGATGAAATGCTTGATTCAGATTAATCAAAGAGAGGTCAATAGTCTTGACTATTCACTTTGCAATGTTTTGCCCACTAATCAAAATCAGGATTTCAAATTAATGAATCAAAGGAGAAGTTGATAGCATATGCTGAATATGAATATTACAAAATACATATTATTTAAATGGATCAATGTCGGAACTGTCTATATCTGTATATTGCAATAGTCCAAAAGGAACTAAAGCTGGTGAAAAAAGGTTTATTCATGAAAAGGTACATTCATTTAGAATTCTGTGAATGATGGAGATACTCATTTACCTTCTTTACTGTAATATTATACTGCAATACCTGCAATACTGCCAGATGCAACTTACATCAATTAGCAAACTTATAAAGTTATATACACATACTATCATATTAACTCTTTTATTTTACTGCAAAAGATTCTTAATATTAATCTCAAATAACTATAATCACAATTATGCAATTCTATAGTTAAGCTATAAGTGTAATTAATATTCTTCCTATTCAAACATTCAGCACCAGTAAGATATTCACACTTGCATCCATGTAAAAATCTCTAACAGTTAAAAATGGCAATATCTTGAAAACAGAGATATTTTGACAAAATAGTTAAAAACCTGTCTATTTGATCAATATGTAACATACAGTACAGACCAGAGCGGCCATCACACCTCGGTGCGACGATAGATGCACCGATCGACGCACCGACCGGTGCAACGATCGATGCAACATCGGCGCGTCGAAATGCATCTCGGCGCATTTTAACGATGCACCGATCGGCACGTTTTATGCGCCGACCAACGCATTTCTCGATGCAACGTCCAATGTGCATCGGTGGATCGAGGAATGCATCGATCGATGCAAAATTAAGACAGGGCAACTGTGAGTCTAATTCAACCGGCAATTGTTCAATGTATTTTATATTTAAATCATATTCTTGAACAAAATTCATGAATTAATAAAAGCCGCCTAAATCGAATGCTACTGTACAGTGGCGATTATTCCTGGTCGATCGTGTAATATACAGAGGATCGATAATTAAAAACTAAATTAATTGTTTTGCTTTAACCAGAGATATATAGCAGTTTTATATGTTTCTACCTGAACCTACATGTAGTCTAGTTTACAACATCAATGGATATAATTACACAGTCACATGTACTTTGTTATTAAATTCAGAAACTTTTACGGCCGGCGCATATTGTCTGATTTTAAACTTGATATTGTTTATTGGATTGATCGACTGCAAGAAGTGGGAATTCTGTCCAGATTCTTCTTCTATTTTTTATTTTATTTGGGAACGTACATTTATTAATAATTCTTGGAAAGCAATACGTGTACAATAATTACTATTACTTAATGGCCACTTGGCTTGGTGTATTTCCATACTCAGTTCAAAAGACGAGCGCGTTCGTATAAATGAATAAATAAATAAATAACGCAAACCACGTTCTTATAAAGTTTTATTCAGAATCGTATTTTATATTGAGTATTTTTTATTTTTATTTATTAAGTTACAGAGACAAGCGGGCACGTAGAGGTTTGTTGCAAGACCATTTCTGCGATGACCAAGGAGCGTATTTTGGTTTTATAACGGGGATATTGTACGAGCTGAAATAACAAATAAAAGACATGTTCTTATTCTTTCCTTTGATTGTCGTATTAAGCTGCGCTGCACGCATAACGTTAAGATTGTTAAAACATTAAAAACAAAACTTTATTTTCTTTCAATTTACATAAAAATGAAACAGATTAGATTCGAATTTCAGTCACACCATTCACTGGTCAAAGGAAGTACAAATATCTAGACTAATCAAATGTCTGAGAATTAGATAACTGTCTGGGATCCAATGTATAGCCAAAACGCTAAAAAAATCTCTGACTGAAAGCTGGGTACGTCGATCGGTGCACTCCTCGATGCATTGGCCAACTCCAACGTGGATCGGAGAATGCATCATGATAAACCATGACATCTCATTTCTTCTAAGAAATGTACAGTACTGATCATACCTGAAATCACACCGGCACGCGCCTAGGTGTTTTGTGTTTTGGAATGAAAAGATTTGATGGTGTTAATTTATTTTTATATTGGAATGTATCAATATTATTTTTTAATTGAGGATAAGGGCTCCGCCTAATCTGACTTTGATGGCTCGAAATGTGTAAATCGAGAGCCATGTAGCAGTTAAAAGAGAAAAGCCCATTAGAGTTGAATAAATACATATCAATGAATTATCTGTTCATAATAGTTTTAATATATTTATTCTAATAGGCTAGTTGACACTTAAACATGCATTTAATTAATGCATTGTGTTTGGGATTCATAATATTACTAAAATCTAAAATTGATTATATGAACTGAAGTGCACCTGTTATTTTTACATTAAAGATGATCTGTTTTATTAGTCGCAACAAAACTTTTTTAAGTAAATGTAGTATATCCGATCGTACATCAGTGAAGAAGCTACGGCTACCCGTTTTACGTGCAGTATGGCAATTCTTGAAATACTTGTATTTATTATGAATTACATTATTAGTCCAAAATACACATTTCGTTCAATAAGAAACACATAAAAACGTTCAATACATTATCTATCACGCCCAGCGATCGGCCAAATGAACGGAGGAGGGAGGTCAGCCCATTTTTGATAGAAAATTCAACAAATCTTCACCAACCCCACCCCCTCCGATCCGTTCATATTTTCCGATCACCAGGTGCGTCTACAGGTGAATAAAAACAACGTATTGCAAAAACCGTATTGTTATATTAAGATCTAGGAGTATTATAGTACTAAGTGTTCGAACGCGGGATTTCTAAACTGCCACCAGACTACTGACTATAAAATACGCTTTACTACTAATTATTGAACCGTTCAGTGAACCAGATTTGGAATCAATAGTTGTAGTCCGTGATAAAATGAACTTGATACATGTTACTTGAATTTCTATCAACTCATTTTTATGATCAGAGATGGTCAAACGCTATATTCTATTGACAACGTAACATTCATTTGTCATCGTGACCTGCAGGTCATGCCAACCATCAACATGCAATGGTGTATGTTTACAAAAAACTTGAAATCAGGAGTTTTATTTAGACGGGACTTCCCCTTTTTATGTCACCACCATAAGTGGTCACATATTGTTAAAGTCTCCAACTTTTTTATGTACGGTGTTTAGCGTCTGGGGTCGGCGTTCAGCGTCTGTAACAAATGGCGGGTGGTGACATTTTTCATGTTTATGCCTTGTTTAATATTTAAGGCTCCAAATGAAATATGATATCTGATATCATCATGATGTTATTCTTATTATATTATTCTGTTTTGCAGGTGCCAATGAGTATGACACACAAGCAGTGACAATTGAGATTTCAAGTCCAGTTTGAAGAACAATACACCGTTCTTCAAGTTATAGCCCAGGGAGTTCAAGTTTATGCATCTTGCCTCAAGTAAAGTGTTAGCCCTTAAAGACAGGACCGTTGGGGAAATGGCACAGTTGCTTGATGCAAGAGTAAAACTTTGAAATAACCATAGATAATATTACAATAGATAAAAGTTTGGCATGCATTGTTTTTTTTCGTTTCATTATTAGATTTGAGAGCAGGTAGTGCAGTGAATTATGTTTGTATTTTAAGAAGTTGTTTTTCAGGTGTTACCAGCGATGATTGCAGGCATGAATACACTTTAAATATATTTCCTAACATATTCCTTCAGTAAATACACCCGTTTGCATGTTTTAAAATAAGCCGTAAATAAAATGTTTAAACTTTGTTAGCATGGTCTATAAACTACAACGACCGTCAACCTGTTTAGGTTTTGATTTGTTTTGTTGAAATTAGATTAAGAAATAAGTCTTTCAAATGACACCAGTGTCTTTAGGGTTGAGGTTTTATGTCGGTTTAAATTAGAATAATTCTTTACTATCTGGTTTTGTTTGCTTCATTGTGAAATGTTCATCGAATTGTTATTTTTCGAATCATTTCCATTTCGTTACATAAGTTATTTGGAATAAACTTAATTTCAGCTAAAATGCAGGGTAGTGCATGGCTGTTTTTGAAACTTCAAAATTTTATTTTGACGTTTTGTTGCTTATCACCGTATTAATTATGAGCACAAGTTTTTATGTTTGTTTATTTGTTTTTATTTCTTATACAAGTACAAGTAAGTTATACATTGCAAGTCACACCCGTAGCAAACCCTGCATTGCCTTACAAAGTTTACACGAGCAGTTTCGAGAAACATTAGAATATGGGAGGGGTTCAAGAAGAGACCCGGTGTAAAAGGGTAGGAGGTCCAGACAGTATCTGTTGGAATGTTATATATTTCCCTATCCATTATATGATAGGCGTATACATGAGTGGAGGGTTGTGGAAATAGGGCCTCGTGAGAGATACATGTACTTGACAGTCAGTAATTGTTTACACCCCCCCCCCCTTCCTTGAAATGCTGAACTAATGTGCTTTTTGTTCATTGAAACAATACGAAATCAAAATTGACTAGTTTCCTAATTACAATAAAAACAAACGGCTGATTAGAAGATTACAGTGACTGTTTCCCGTCATTACATAACAATGTTGAAGGTGGGCAAAGGAAATCGAGTCTGTATTGATCTAGTTAATAAGCATGATACGTGATTATAAACGTAGAGTAAAGGAAATGCCAGGAAATTTTTTAGAATTCTCATTGTAATCAGAACTATGTGAATTTATACCATTCGCTCAGACATGGGCTAAATTTTTGATTCTTTTCAGCCTAATATTCTATCCAACAGCATTAAATGATCAAACTCAATTATTTAGTAAAACTTCAATAAGGGATCACGTGAATGTCGATACAGCGGTAAATGAAAGTTTTATGCTTATTATGCGGGAACTATGAAATATTAGATTTAATTACCTAGGTACCGTATTCGGGGGGACATTTTATCCTTTTTAGATTTTATATCGATTTTGACATTTTTGGCCTCTGGCTATGAAATATGTCTCTGATATTTATGTATTTCCCGAGAGAAAATTGGACATTTGCGGGGCCTGATGCAAGACTAGTTATCTGTTTTCCTGGCTTGTTTGAAATGGATAAACTTTGCAATGTCGTATGTTTCAATGAAGCCCATGTGGGAATGACAGACTGTAGACCTAGAAATCCATATTTATATACTATAGATCGAGATAGAATAGTAATACAAAATATAGTATTCCAATTTCCAGTATCATAATAGACACCAACTTTTAAATACTAGTAACAGATTTAGAATTCCTATTTTAAAATCAAGAGTCAGTTTAATCAGGAATTATAAATTCATTGATCAAATGCGATCGAGATAGACTGGCGGACAGGATGAGCTAGGATGCAATCAGGAAGGCGCTTAGTTGTTTATATTAATTATTGGGTCTTATAATACCTCAGTATAGTATACCCCTCCCTCCCAAATCACAACTTCGCAACCGCCGTCAATTTTATAATCAAATCCCTTTCCCTCACTAATGCAAATACATGAATAAATATAATTGGAGTGAATTGCATGCGTTTCGAATGAAGTTATCTTTGTAGTACTAGTATTAATTTGTTCAAACAAGTTTACAGAAGATAAATGAAAGGGGACAAAGGGAAACACAGGGGCGTAGTCAACTTTCAGTCAGGGGGGATGCGATTGCCCCTTAAAAATTCGGTTTTCAGTCAGAATGGGGTGGGGGTGCGATTAGCAAGCCAAAATATTTTTTAAAATAATAAATCAAAACAAAGCTTTTTTTAAATTATGAATGTAAACACTTATCAATATGTATGCAACATGCAAAACCAATAAACTGAATACATTTAAAGATTAGACTGCAGCTTCTTGAAAAGAAAGCAGAACGTGTCATCACCGCCAACATAGAGAGCAACGTGTACTAATTATAAGTATCTGAAAGATAACGCAAAAAACTTAATTATTAACTTTCAAGTCTTAACAATTTAACATGTAACTGTAACATGTAACTGTAACATAACATATATATCGCCTCGAGGGGTCATTTAGCTTGATGAATAACCCCTCTGGTATTAAAGAGGTTTCGCACAATGGATTAACCTCAACTCGTTTTAGTGCTGTACCCTACGCGCAGAGCCTAGAAATAAACTACAGAAGATGAAGCTCTCTTTTAATTAAGAAGTGAAGTCGAACGAATGTAAAGGGTAATAAATCTGGTGAACACAACACGTTGAGCTAAAAACTTGCGAAACCTCTCTATAAACGCATTGTTGAACGCAAATGATCATGTGGATTCACTTAAATTCTGAATTATATTCAACTGTTTCTGTAAACTTCAACGAATGCATTTAATCCCATGATGCGTTTCACTCCTATCTGGAGTCTGGGAGGGCAGACTTGCACCCCGGGACTTGCACCAACCCTTGCCCCTCTTCCACCCCGTGTCATCCTTGAGGTCCATGCATAGCCAAACACTTCACATGCCTGTATCACCCCGTTAATGGAAACAACCTGTAAAAAATGAATATCATATTAGCAAATGCCTTTTATGGCCAGGTGACCGAGACATCAAAGTGATATTGAGTAAATTTCCTCCAACTCAAAACGTAATTATCTCTTCATAAAATCTAAAATTCACAATCCTTATCTAAATTGTGTATGGAACAAAACCAGAAGTCTGTTATATTATTAGTCTACAAAATGTCCGGTGACTTAACTGTATGGAATTTTGAAATATAAAATTTTTTATAAACACATCAACATAGAAAAAATCAATACAGTTATATTGTAACAATATTCATATTATACAGGGCCGTCAGATGGGGGGGTGCGATGGGTGCGACCGCACCCCCCTTTGTCACCCCCCAAAATAAATTTGAAAAAAAAATTAGAGTAAAAATTTTTTTTTGAAAATTTTTTTTGCAATTTTTTTTCATTGACTCATACACTTTGAAAGTACCCAGAAAGCACCAAATAGCATCTTAAAATTGTAAAAGTTTCTAGGGGTATTGGCCACCCCTCACACCCCCCACAAAACAATGGAAAAGTTCTAAATTTATTTTAGAGTTTTGTCTCCGACACTTTTAAAGTGCCCAGATATCATCAAATTGATATAGTTAGTGTTTCTGGGGGACTTACTCCCCCTCTTGCATCTTGCACTTGCATAACCCCCCCCCCTCTGGCGCCCCCCCCTTGACCCCCCCAAAAATGTGATTTTCTCAAATTCTTTAATTGACTCATACGCTTTGAAAGTGCCCAGGAAGCACCAAATAGCGTCGTAAAATTGTAAAATTTTTCCCCCAGTCACACCCCAAACAAAACAATGGAAAAGCTCTGAATTTGTTTTATGAATTGTCTCAGACACTTTTAAATTGCCCAGACATCATCAAATAGCTCCTTGATAAAGTTAATGATTCTGGAAGACTAACACTTACTCGCCCTCTGGCATCCCCACTCCCTTAACACACCCCCCCCCCCAAAAAAAAAAAAAATTTCAAATTTTTTTATTGACTCATACCCTTTGAAAGTGTCCAGAAAGCACCAAAAAGCATCTTTACAATTTTCTTGGGAAATAGGCACTTTTAGGCACAGACACTTTTTTAAATTTTGATATGGGGGACAAACACTTGCTCCCCCTCTGGCACCCCAGCCCCACCTCCCCCTCTGGCACCCCTCCCCCCCCCCCTTTGACACCCCCTAAATTAAAAAAAAAATTGTGAAAATACTAATGCACTTTAAAAGTGCCCAGAAGCACCAAATATCATCTTTAAATTGTAAAATTTTCTAGGAGAGTTAGTCATCCCTCACATCCCCAACAAAACAAAAGAAAATATTCTGAATTTTATGTATTGTCTCAGACATTTTTTAAGTCCCCAGACATCATCAAATAGCACCTTGATATGATATGGTCAATGTTTCTGGGGGACAACCCCTTGCTCCCCTACTGGCACCCCACCCCACCCCACTTCACCCTCTAATCCTCTTTGACACCCCCAAAAGAATTTGAAATTCACATTTTTCTTATTGACTCATAACGCACAGGCGTACCAGATGGTTGCAAATTCGCTCCAAATACAACTAAATTTCCAAATTTTCCTGGGGGAGAACCCCCAGACCCCCGTGAATGCTCGGTTTTTTATTCACTCAACTCTTATTCCCGTGGTGGTGGCATACTACTTAGAAACTTACACTTTGAAAGTGCCCAGAAAACACCAAATAGCATCTCAAAACTGTAAAATTTTCTAGGGGGAGTGGACCACTCCTCACACCCCCCACAAAACAATTGGAACGTTTGGAAGTTGCATGCATTTGTTAATTCCAAACCAATATAGGGAG